CCAGAGATCAAATAACTAGTGTAAATGAAGTGATGTCAGAATAAACTACAAAGGGTAAGAATAAAATGCAATTTGAGTCGATTTTTTTATTTTAAAATCTTTCCCATCCATAACAACCCATTCTCTAGCTAAAAGTAGAAAGAGTGACCCCACCAATTGTTGGCAAGGATGTAAGCAACTGGTACTTTTTCCATCTTGGTGCCAGAAGTGGAAATGGAACAACCACTTGGGAAGAGGTATTTGGCCCTAGGACCCAAAATTCTACATGAAAACATGTCCACCAAAAACCTGCATGGACACATTTGTAACTTATTCGTAATAACTAAGGACTAGAAACAACAACAAATATCCACCAACAACTGAATAGATAAGTAAATTGTGGCATACTTATACAAGCAAATATGACTGGGCAACAAAAATAAATAATGATACACGGGACAGTATATACAAATATCAGTAACATGCTGAACCCAAGGCAGCCACAAGAGTACATGCTGGTTGATATCATTTATATGCAGACTGAAAATAAGTGATAGAAATCAAGAGTGGTTGATTCTGGAGCCAGGTGCAGTGGCACATGTCTGTAATCCCAGCAACTTGGGAGGCTGAGGCAGGAGGATCTTGAGTTCAAACCCAGCCTCAGCAACTTAGTGAAGCCCTGAGCAACTCAGCAAGACCCTGTCTCTAATAAAATATTTTAAAAAGGGGCTAGGGTTATGTCTCAGTGGTTAAGTGCCCCTGGGTTCAATCCCTGGTACCAAAAAAGAAAGAAAGAAAAGAGTGGCTCATGCTGGGAGACAAGAAGGTGAATGGATAAGAGCAAGAAGTTGACCTAGCATAGAAAATGTTCTCCTGTTCTCCATCATGATTTTGGTCAAGGTTTAATGAACATATACATTAGTCAAAAGTCATCAAATAGCAAACTTAAAATCAATGCATGTTACTCTATGTTAGTTATACTTCAATAAAAGCATAAAAATATAAAATACAGAGTGACCTATTATGATCATAAAAAGTAAACTTTTGACCTAACTCAACTTACTCTTATCTTCTTAAATGGCCAACTTTAAAATTAATTTGTCTCGTGGATTAATCACAAATGGTCACCCATTTAGGCTAAAAGTACACTTGATAAAACCATGCGTAATAGTCCACAGTTCATCTCTTTTGATGAAAACTCCCACTCATGTTTTAAAAAAATATTAAATATGTTTTCTATCTTTTAAAAAAATGTTAGTTGTAGATGGACATAATACCTTTATTTATTTATTGTATGTGGTGCTAAGACTTAAACTCAGTGCCCTACACATGCCAGGCAAGCACTCTGCCACTGAGCTACAGCCCCAGCCTCTGGTTTCTATTTTACCCATGAGAATAGCAATGAATCTGAGAATGTCTGTTGAATTTAGGTAGTACCTGTTCAATTAGTATTTTGAGTCACTAAATTGTCTAGGGTATTTTTGGTTTTTGTTTTTTGGGGTTTTTAAAAATTTTTTTTTAGTTGTAGATAGACACAGTATCTTTAATTAATTAATTTATTTATTTATGTGGTGCTGAGGATGGAACCTAGTGCCTCCGGCATGCAAGGCAAGTGCTTTACCACTGAGCCACAACCCCAGCCCAATGTCTAGGATATTTTTGTGTCAAGCAAAATATTTTCTTTCTAGAGTAAATTACAAATGAATCTTTTAGTCACATCCATATTCATATGTATAGATTACCTTCTCTCTTGCCATGTCAAATCCTATATTCTTTCTTATTGAAAAAGAAAAAGGGGCTGGGGAAATAGCTCAGTTGGTAGAATGCTTGCCTCACATGCACAAGGTCCTGGGTTCAATCCCCAGCACCACACATACACAAAACAATACTCCAGCCTTTACCTCAACCTAGTCTTCCCAGGGCCTCAGAGACTGATCCACTGGGTGTTTGATACACTAAGTTGGTGCCATGATGACTGACATGGAATTTTCCAGCTAAGCCAGCGGGACCAGACATTAAGACACATGAATCACCAGGTTTTCTGAGCCATGGTCTGGTTTTCCTGTTGTTGTAGGAGCATGGAGCCTGAGCTCACTGGAGATTGTTTCCTTAACAAGAAATAACAACTCTTCACTCAGCCTTACATCAGGTCACCCATTTGGGTTGGTAAGATTCATGAGTGAATAAAAAGAGCTCTGCTTTTTCTATCTGCACCTCACAGAAGAAGGCCAGGGTTGGACTTTGGATCCCTTGACAGTAGAGCTGTATTAATAATTCTGTTGCCCCTTATTTGTTAACCCCTAGTAACTAATGATAAGCAATATTAGATTTGATATTCAAGTATTGCAAATGGCTTGGTGTTTAGCAAGATACCAAATGTAGCCCACACTCTTGTGAGAAAGGTTGTTTCACTCTACCAACAATCAGGCCAGAGTGGACGGCCCGAAGAAACACAGCTTATATATTTTTGGCCTTTGGAAAATCCATTACTCTTTTGATTCACTGTCCATTGAACTTCTTTTGCTTTTATTCTTGGATGAGCAGTTTTTATTTCCAGTCTAGAGAAAAGGAGTCTCAGACAGAATTGACCAGAAATGGACCCAGTGACCAAGATTATGTTAAAGTGCCTTATTATTAGGAAGAGTCCTCAGGTTGAACTGATAGGGCCCTCCAGAAGTTGGATGGGCAGCAGAAGGAATCCAGCACCATCCTACCAAGGGAACTCTGAAGAAGGCAGTGTCCCCAACACAGGTAGAAGGTTTGAAGTGTTTATACTCTGTGCCCACAAATCAATAGGTAAAAGCTATCCCAGAAGTGCATCAATTCCCAGGCTCTGCCAGCCCTCTGTGCCCACAGGCAAAAGTAGCTCTGGCAGCCTGAGGACATTTCTCCTCTCCTCTTTTCTTTGTTTACGGCATCCCTAGGATGTCACCTTCCTCCCTGGAGTTTATCACTCTATGGGGGCAAGGTGGCTGCTGTGTTTCATAGCATCACACTCACATTCAAGGAAGAGGGAAAAGACTGGTTTTGAGAAAAGTTGGGTTTGCAGGGACCAGACTAGGTTTGTTCTTCTGTTTTTACCCTTGTCCCCAGATTTCCATTAAAATAGTTCTTATAAGTGGATTTCATTTTTTACGGAAAGCCTTCCCTCCCAGGTCAGATCCCAGTCACTAGTTTTCATTTCCTTTAAGAGCATTGTATAATAGCATTAAGGCCTTTCTTTGTATAATACAATAATACATCTATGTTTTCAGTTTTTTCAAATAAATATTTGAAATGCCAACATCATAAACACCTGTTGTTGAAAAAGCAAAAGCTTCCATAGGGATTCCCAGCAGATACTTCCTTCTGATTAGAAATTGACCACTTGGCCTTTCCAACAGCAAGGGAAGTCAAGTATCTCATGACAAGAAGGTGACAGCAAAGGGAGTGAGCATGAGTGTGGGATTAGCCAGTGAGCTGTATCTGCCAGAGGTCTCATGAAAACATTTGAATTGTTAAAAATACAGAATGTTACTTTGTAGATCAAAAGAAGTACCAGTTTTAGACTCTTCGTGGGATTGTGTAAAATTGTATATTTATCATTTTATATGCTTATGTGTAATAAAATACATATTATACTATGTATTTATGGTTATGTAAATGTACTTATGAATTTATTTCTATTTCTCATAGGAGAAATTTATAACATTGATTAGATATATCAGCTTTGTTTTTTTAAATATTTTTTAGTTCTACATGGATACAATATCTTTATTTTGTTTATTTTTTTTTCCATGTGATGCTGAGGATCAAACCCAGTGCCTCACATGCACAAGGCAAGCATTCTGCCACTGAGCTACAATCCCAGGCCCACTAGATATATCAGCTTTTTAAAACATTTTTTTTTAATTTGTTCTTTTTAGTTATACATGACGTAGAATATATTTTGACATACATACATGGAATATAACTTCCCAGTCTTGTGGTTGTACATGCTGTGGAGTTATACTGGTCGGTATTCGTATATGAACATAGGAAAGTTATGTCCAATTCATTCTACTGACTTTCCTATTTCTAACCCCTCTCCCTTCCCACCATTCCCCTTTGTCTAATTCAACAAACTTCTATTCTTCCCTCCTCCTCCACTTACTGTGGTGTTAGCATCTGCCTATCAGAATATTCGGTCTTTGGTTTTGGGGGATTGGCTTATTTCACTTAGCATGATGATCTTCAGTTCCATCCATTTACTGGCAAAAGTCATAAAGTCATTCATTTTTATGGTTGAGTAATATTTCATTGTGTATATAGACCACAGTTTCCTTACCCTTTCATCGGTTGAAGAGAACCTAGGTTGGTTCCATAGCTTAGCTATCATGCATTGAGCTGCTGTAGACATTGATGTGGCTGCATCATTATAGTATACTGATTTTAAGTACTTTGGGTATAAAGCTGGAAGTAGGATGACTGGATCAAATGGTGGTTCCATTCCAAGTTTTCTTAGGAGTCTCCATACTGCTTTCCAGAGTGCTTGTACCAATTTGCAGTCCCACCAGCAATGTATGAGTGAACCTTTTCCCCCACATCCTGACCAACATTTATTGTTGCTTGTGTTCTTTATAATTCCCATTCTGACTAGAATGAGATGAAATCTCAGTATAGTTTTAATCTGCATTTCTCTAACTGCTAGAGATGTTGAACATTTCTTCATATATTTGTTGATGGATCATATTTCTTCTGTGAAGAGTCTGTTCAGTTCCTTTGCCCATTTATTGATTGAGTTACTTGGGTTTTTTTTTTTTTGGTGTTAAGTTTTCTTAGTTCTTTATATATTCTAGAGATTAATGCTCTATCTGAGGTGCAGGTGGCAAAGATTTTGTCTCATTCTGGAGGCTTTCTTTTCCACGTTCTTGATTGTTTCCTTTTCTGTGAAGGATATTATCAGCTTTTGTTTAATACATTTCATCTAACCATATTAGCAATAAGTATTTGAAATGTGGGTGAATAATAAATAAAACTTCTAAGAAAGCAACAAACCAGCATTATTATATTTATTATTAATAAAAACACATAATGTTTAGTGGCTGCTCCCAAATGTGAACCAGCTTTTCAGTGAAGAGATCTGTTCTCACTTTGAAGCAAGCTTGTATGATTTTCATACTGTTGAAGAAACCGCATCTAAATGATAATCCCATCAAGGCAATCTCACACTGTTGTCCATTCAAATGGAATTTCAATTTTTCAATATGTCCATCTTTCTTGTCATTTGAGATTTCCACTTCTCTAAATGTTTCTTAAATGTTCTTATCCCCGAGGGATGCCCTGGGGAAAAAAATGAAGAAAAAAGGATAAGGAAGGGTATGGATTTTTTTAAAAAATTATAAAACCTATGGGAATCCAGTATTACTCATTACATGAATTAATGTAATTAAACACAATTTAATTTGTAGTGTAATTAAAGAGGGTGTAAATGGTGCTATTCTTCTAATGCTGGCATTCTACCCAGAGCCCTTTCTTCTGACATCATTAGTCAATGATTTATGGGCCTCCCAGAGCTTCATACCTGTCACCCTCAGGTTTTCTGAGATATCAGAGTGGTGTGCGTGGGCAGTAATGGTTCCAAGTCTGTGACTGCTGTGCTTTGTTCTTAGATCCAATGTACTCAGCTAGATTCCACTTCTGGAAGAGATAAAAATGAGAAGATACTAGAATATTTACTTTACGAGCGTCAGCCAGCTGCAGTGGAAGTTGACCTTCAACTCCTCAGGGTATCCCTGCCAAACGATATGGTTGCTTAGCTTCCAGAGTCAAAGTGACTGATAAAGACCAAAGGCTTTCTCCCAGTACACAATGGGCATTATGTGTGTATATGTGCCTGCACATGGGTATAAAAGAGAGACATTCACTTGCATGGAGTATGTGTGTGAGTTCAAGTGTTTTAGAGAAGACAGAGAGAGAACACTTGGCTGGAATGGTATCTCTTTTCTGGACTTGATGGAGGCTATTGGTCTTCTTTCAAAAGTCTACCCGAAAGCCTAGGGAACAGCTTATTCTAATAGACCATGCATTATCATCCTGTCCTGCTGGGGAGATAAAGGCAAGAAAATTTAAGGCAAGATTCCAGAAAAGAGTTATTATGAAAGCTAAGTTTTGATGGAAGGTGAGCTAGGGCCTGGCCCTGTGAGTGTTAAAGTGATTATCTTTCATGGCTCAACCTCAAAATGCCTTTGCTATTTGCTACTTGGGGTTTTTGAGGGACAGGAAAGGAAAAGGGTATGAAGAAAATAAGGAACAAAGAGAGAGTTTAGAAAACTTCTTGAGAGAAAATGAATCTTGATAATGTTGGATTTTCCTTGACATTTTTTTTTTATTTGTTGAAGCACTTCATAAACAGATTGCATATTCCTTGTAGAGAGGTGAACCTATTCTGCAAAAGTCCCAGGTGGAATGTTGCAAATTCTGAAGGAAAAATACTTTTCCCACTTACATCTTTCTGGCAAAATTGTATACAAACAGACTGCCATGTGACTCTTTGGAACTGATGATTAAACCAAGCTCCAGAGGAAGTGAAAGTATCTTTGGTCTCTGCACAACCACTTCTTTATTTTTATTTTTCCCCTTTTACCATCAACCAGCTCAATGCATCTGTGTTAACAACTAAAGACTGAAGGTTAAATTAGAGGAAGGTTCCTATTACATTTTAAGATTATCTTAAACACTTGAGCACATTGCAATTCTCCAAGGCGGAAATGACTCCTGTAATCTTTCATCAAAATTTATTACCAACATTTCCTTCACTGACAGTATCAAAAAGCTACAGTGGCCAGGGAATGTTCTCAGCCACACTAGCAAGGGGATATGATTATATTCTCCAGTGGAAGTTGTGACTTCCGGGTTTTTTCACCCCCCCTTTGTGAAAACAATGGTTTCTGGCTCCCCCACAGATCCTGTGACTTCAGGAAACATCAATTCAGAAAACCGGCTCAGTAGTTGTTGAAGGGGGACCCAGGAGAGATGGTGGATTTCTCTTCCTTTGGAAATCAGATTTTTCTCTTATGAAACATGAGAGGGGAAATATTCTAGCCCAATACCCACTACTGTACAGGGAGACTCGGGCTTTATCCAAAGGTGTGCTGGATTGAATTTAGACCTCTAAGCAAGTCGCTCCCCCTCCAACACGGGGTTTCAATTTGCTTTACAGGATATTTCTCTCTCCTTCAAGTTGGGATTGTGGTTGTGTATGTTAAAAACAAAAGTCACCAGTATTTTTCATGATGTCTTTTTTTTTTTTTTTTTTTTAGAGAGAGAGTATTTTTTAATATTTATTTTTTTTAGTTCTCGGCGGGACACAACATCTTTGTTGGTATGTGGTGCTGAGGATGGAACCCGGGCCGCACGCATGCCAGGCGAGTGTGCTACCGCTTGAGCCACATCCCCAGCCCTCAAGAAGTCTTTTGCCAATAGAGAAAAATCAACCTCTCTTTCTATTTTTATGCTAAAGAAGAGATGAGAAGGCCCAGAGGCTGAGGAGCATTTCCAGCTTTCTCGTTCTTGCTTTCTTCTCTGGCTTGCATTCCTTTCCTGCATCTTCTACGTTTATTCTTCTGCTACATTTATATCTCCTTTTGGTTCTCATACTCATATCCACCTCTTTTCAATCTCTTGCCTTTGTTTACCTCCCCACACTTCTCTGCTCAGAGCAAACCCCTTGTTCCAGGAGGAGGCAAGGGTAGGATAGAGAAAGAGGGTGTATACAAACAACAGCACTGGCCATGATTTAGACCATCAATTGAATTGGTCACCTCTATCCAGGATCTGACCACTGGCTACCTCCACTGCTACTACTGCAGCCTAAACTACCACCATCTCTGGCCTAAATGATTCCATTCATCTCCTAACCAGTCACCCTCCTTCTGTCTTGGCCTCTCTGTGGTTTTACACACCAGCTCAGGGTAAGCCTTTTCAAAGAGAGAAATTCTCTCCTCATAATCCTTCCCGTCCTAAGCAGAATAAATTCCAAATTTCTTACCATGGCCTGTATGGTTCTAAATAGGGTAAACCCTTGCTAGTGTCCAAGTCTCAGCTTCTGTTACTCTTCCCTGGTTCATTCCACTCTGTTCCTTGTCTTTAGGGAATTCATGCTAACTCGCCCCTCTGCCTGGACCCCTGTTGCTTTCAGGTCTCTGCATGAATGTCAGCCTCTCAGCAAATCCTCCTGGAAGAGGTCTCTAAAAGAGCACTGTTCTTGTCACCATTATTTAATAGCTATTGCTACTGGACATATAGCGTCCTCAGCATCCGAAAGAGTGTTTAGCACACTTACTGTAATAAATATGTGCAGACAGAGTAAATGAAATGTTGTGATACTAGCAAAGTACTTTAGCTTTGGTAAACTCCCTTTCTGTGACATCTGTGTGTTATAAGGCCACACGATATGGTAGAAAGCCACATTGGAATGACAAGATCCTCATGGGGAGCCTGCTACTTTATCCTTAGCAACAGTTCTGTAAGCCTGGGATCCTGGCTGCTTTCTTGTCCTTACTTTACTGGTCAGATAGAGGTTGCCCAGTAATGTCCCAGAACGGCACACACCTGTCCTTTCCTCGTGTCCTCATGCCAGGGACTCTATCTGTTGGCTGCATTTGTAGTTCTTATTCATAGTCATGGTTGTGCCCCACCTGACTTTTATGCCTGGTCAGTCTTGGGAATCACAAGTTACCCTTGGCTTCTTGCACACAGGTCAAGTGGGGGAGGAAAAAGAAAACCTTTCCCAAGATGAAGTGCTAAACTAATCCATCTCTACTCAGATAGTTCCAGAATTTTGCATTATTAGAGTGGGGAAGAATTTAAGATCTTGGAGTACACAAATATTTATTTATTTATTTTTTAAAAAAGCAGCAATACCTCTTCTTCAAACACTCTTCTGGAGTCCCATCATGTGAAACAAGCCACATTGAGGCTTCTCTCCTTGGAAAGGATATGGTGATCAGAGTTTGTGTGGTTCAGTTCGGCTCCTTGCAGGGTTACTTGAGGAATTGTGCAGAGCCTAGAGCTTAGGCAGAAAAAAAAAAAGCAATGTTGGAAGAGGCAAAGGGATTTCTTTATGGATATACAGGGAGTAGCAATCCTGCACTAAGGACCCCCATCTCCTAGTTCCCACCTTATACTGCTCTTCCTACTATATACAACATGTTCTGCCAGCAGTTTACCATTCAGTTAGCACCTACTGTGTGCCACGCATCATACAAAGTGTTTTACATTCATTATTTCGTTTGATCCTTATGGCTCCCTTTCATGGTATACAACATGATTAATTTCACTTTTTCAAAGTAAAGACTAAGAAAGAACATATAGGAATTAAGCAGTGGAGATGGTTTTGAACCCAGGTCTGTCTCATTTTAAAGCCTGTGTTCATTCTACTACACCCTACTCATAACAAAACAAAACACAAGACAAAACTCAAAGCAAGCTAAGTATATTAGTAATAAATGACCTAATGATGCCCATAACCTAAAAGGAAATTATTTCTTGCTTAGATAGGATCACTGGGCAGGTAAAGAGATCAGTAAGGGACCTTCCTCCATGTAGCCATTTTAAAGTCCAGATTATCAGAGTCTCTGATAATAGTTTCTAATGTCACCTTGAATACCATCTATTCTAGATAGCCAGAGAAGAAAAGATCATGGAAGAGTAAGCAGAGAAAATTTTTGTAAGCCAAGCCTGGAAGTGGAAATTTATTCTTTGTGCATTCCATTCATTATAACCTTGTCACTTGACTGCACCTCACTGTGAAGAGTGCCAGAAAATGTAGCCTCTCACTTGGAAACCACTTCCCCTTGACCAATCTATACTTTGAAAGGAAGAGCACGAATTTGTGGAGGACATCTGATTATTTCTGCTTCACCAACCAAGGGCTGCAGCACATATAAAATTCTAGACTTAATATCCTTTTATCTGATGTAGCTTTCAAATCCAAGGTTATAATATAGCTGTGGTGAATCTTGATTGATCGATTGAATTTTTATGCATTTCCAACAGTCTGTGTTCTTTCTTATTTTGGAGAAGTCAATCAATATGCCTATTTCAATTGGATGCAGTTTCCCCCCAACTTCCCAAGACTGAGGGGAGCTATTCTCCCTTTCTCTTGCCCTCAGCAGTAAGAACTCAGCAAGGGAACTAGATTGACCAATCAGATGATCCCTCTTGGCATTTTGAATTGGCAGAATATAAGCAATAAGGGACCTCTGTTGTGCACTTGCATGGTTTCAATAGAATCCATTGGTGGCCTTGTTTTGTGGTTGTGCACAGCAGTGTGTTGGCAGTCAGTAACATAACAAACCAGATTTTTCTTTGCATAAATTCTGAAGCACCCCCCCCATTTCCTAGGGGTTCCCAAGGCCTTGACTGATTCCGTGAATGGCCCACTAACATCATTCCAGGAAATCCTCTTTTTTGCTTAAGTTATTCAGAGTTTGTTTTCTGGCCTTCCATCAATAACTCTGATACAAAGCCTTTCAGAGCACTTCATCTAACTCTGCCTCCACCAGTGCTACAGGTTTGGCTAATTTTACTGCTACTAGAAATGCCATGTTTATTGACAAATCCAGAACCCTGAAGTTTTTTTGGTTTTGTTTTGTTTTGGTACTGGGGATTGAACCCAAGAGTGCTTAACCACTGAGCCCCATTTTAATTTTTTTAATTTGCGACAGGGTCTCACTAAATTGCTTAGGGCCTTGTAAATTTGCTGAGGCTGGCTTTGAACTTTCAATCCTCCTGCCTCAGCCCCCCAAGTTGCTGGGATTACAGGCTTGTGCAACTGAGCCCAACAGGAAGCCGGACTTTCTAAGAAGAGCTGGGGCCAAAGTTCCTGGCATGATCCTTTTTTTTTTTTTTTTTAAAGATAAAGAGAGTCTGTTGGTAATAAAGTTTTTATACTTCCTGGTGTTAAGGAGGAAGCTGTTTTCAAACACCTCTTCAAGCAGAGAATAGAGGGCATGAAAGGAGTTCTCCAAAGTCCTACATGGTAATATTGAGAGCAAGATATTCTGTTCCAGACTCTCCTGGGCAGGTCATAGGAGAAAGAAGTGAATAATCAATTTGTTAGTCCCCTGAACTTTAAAATCTGGGCATCCTGTACTTTCTTTGAGACATTCACATTCATGGACCTCATCTTTGCCTGCAAAATTTAGATGAGCATTTATTGTCAAAGAGAGAACCCCCAAGTCGGCATCTGCATCGTCAGGGTATTAACTATTAATGCAAGTAAATATGATTGGTGTGCTTTTAAAAAGGAGTCTGATCCTCCTGGGGTTGTGGGCGTTGGCTTCTGGTATTGATGGAATGCTGATTCACTATGGATTTATTAATAACCTTTTATAACGAGCAAATATCTCTGTACTTGCCAAGGTACCCAAAGCTTGTAGATAGAATGAGGTCCTATTTACATGCTACCCAAATCTTACTAACTCATAGCTCTCACCTTTATCTCTTGCCCTCCACCAAAATCTAAGCCCTTATTCTCAGGTGACGCATGAGATGTGTCCTCAAATGTCATGCTTTGCAGTCCTAACCCCTAAGACCTCAGAATGTGACTATGTTTGGAGTTAAGACCTTTAAATAGGTTAAAAGAATACTATTAGAATGGGTTCTAATCCCATTTGACTGGTATCCATTAAGAAAAGAAAAATTGGACACACAAAGAGACACCAGGGATGTTCCTGCACAAAGAAAAAAGACATGTAAGGACACAGCAGAAGCTGGCAGTCTGCCAGTCCAGGAGCGAGGAGGCCTTAGGACCAAATCAACCCTGCTGGCATGTTGATCTTGGACTTCCGGTCTCCAGAACTACGAGAAAATTAATTCCTCACGGTGCTCAAACCATCCAAACGTGGTATTTTGCTACTGCAGCGTGATCCCTGACCATGACCACAGCTACGAAGTTCACCATGGGCTTCTGATGCTTGGACACCAGGGGCCTTGCTGGTACTGGAGGGACTACCCTACCACCACCACTTCACTGGTCAATTTGTAGAGTTAGTAAAGGACTCAGCTGCAGGCACACCTCTCCCATGTGAAACCTCCAACCCAGAGCCCACACCTCAGCCATCTCCTTTATTGAACATCTCATATGCAGGGCCCCATCTCCCTGCCCCAAACACCCCCAGGCCAGATACCAGACAATAATAGATAACCCTTACACCCCAAGACCAGCTGAAGTTCATCTAGCTAGCCAATCCTAAGTGGGTTTACCTTGTCTCACTCATTCCTTCCCATGGAAATCACAAAAGTTCTGACCCACATCTTCCCCTTTTGCCTCTGCCTCCTAACTGGAGGTAATGCTGGTGCTCTCCCCATGTAGCCCTGCATGGCATGGCTTGCCCCCTCATCTTGGCAACTCTCTTTCCAATGACAACTGTCTCCTGATCTGTTGTCCTCACTATATCTGAATAATAATAAAACCTACTTTAAAAAAATAAGACTTTTGATGTAAACTGGATTACTATTTATCAGCTCTCCCAAAGCTGAAAACCCCGAATTATGGTGGAGCAATGCTATATTTGCTTTATTCCTCCTGTGAAAGGACCACGTGGCATTTGTACAGAGATGGTGAGAAGAACCCCAACTTATGCCATACATGGCCCACAGCTCAATAGCTGGTATGCTATAAGCTACAAAATGCCTAAGGAATCTGCTCCTTCTGCTTTTGTATCAGCTCCTTCTCTCCCTACAGCCCAGATGAAGTCTCTGGACCCAGCCATGGTAACAAAGACTTTGCCTTCCTCTCAATCATCATGCATTAAACTTCCTCGTAAATGTCTCTACCTCTCATGCAAAGCAGCAACATGCAAACTGATTCTTGGATGCTCTGCTTTTACATGCCCAGATAAGCCTAAATGTATGCCATGGCCAGCCAAGACCTATCCATCTTCACAACCTCATCTACTAAGAAGCCAATTAAAGAAGTTTATGAAGAGGGGAAGGGAGGAGGCCACAGACACCACGAGACACAGGTTCTAACTACCTGTTTGGGGAGATGCAAAATCTAAAGAAGGAAATAGCTTCTGTGACATTCAGAAAGCATAGACAAAAGTCACTGAGTGAGTTCATAGAAGGGAACTGATTGATACCTTCTGGTGAGGGTATCCGGAAAGGCATCATGGGTGACTTGGGGCTTGAGCTGGTACTGGAAAAGTCAGCACCGTTAATAAAAATATTAATTAATAAAGAGTTTAAAGAGGAATAAAGTCTTCTTTCTCTTGGAAAATACCTAGAGGCTGGATAGAGAGAGATGTACTTAGGCAAAGTTAAGAAGATGGACTGACTGACCTAGACTAGGACAGAAGAAGAACAATGAAGTGAATTGAGGCTGTGGAAGCTGTCAGTACCCAACTGAAGAGGCCTTGGGTGTCTTGTGAAAAAAAATACCTGTGCATTAGAGTATTTTGCTGCAGCCGGACTGCGGCACCTGTGAGTAGAAATGGATAACTAGTAGTGGCCCTCACGGTCATACTCTAAACAGAAATAAAACTTATGATAAAACATACAAGAGAATATTTCATTTATAAATGGACATTTTTGGGGCCCTAACATGCATGATAGAGGGGTTAGCAAACATTTTTTAAGGGTCAGATAGATAGTCAATATTTTAGGCTTTGCAGGCTGTGTGGTTTCTGTCCTGACCACTAACTCTGCCATTTATGTTGAGAGAACAGCCATGAGCAATGTATAAAAGAATGAACATTTGTATATTCTAATAAGATTTTATTTATAAAAACATCGGGGGCTGCCGATTTAGCCTGCAGGCCTTATTTGCTGACCACTGATATAAAGCATGATCTTTAGATAGTCTGAGTCCCATGGTTAGGATCTCTGCTCAAACCTCTGGGAAAAATTGGATATAGAAGAATGATAACTCTAAAGATGAAATGTCCCAGGATTCAGACATATATAGGCCATCCAGAAGACAGGCCTCTGGTCACATGCAATGGACCATCTTTCCCTCTGGAAATCTGAATTTCCATAGCAGGTTTAAGCCATGGAAAAACCTGTGAAGCAAGTGTAAGCAACTACCCTTTGTCCCAGCCGATGTTTATGACCTGGAAGAATTGGTGATGATCCATTTGTTGATTTTTAATTCTTTATTGTTTTTCTTTTTTAAGCTTATATTTATTAGGTTGCTTTCTGTGTACTGGGTGGTATGTTGATACAGAGATCCCCAGAGTTCTCAGAAGAGTATTCCTCAATTAAACATAAACACACAGAGACACACACTCCCACACCTTCCTGGGATCAGGCATAAAGAGTTCATACTAGTGCAAAAAGGATTTAATTAGTGTTTCAAAATTTTATCCTACTGCTCATTAATCTTTACATTAATGCCATGTACTATTATTATTAATTTCATTTAACATATGAGAAAACTGAGGTTCAAAAGGCTCATTACTTGCCCAAGTCACATAGAAGTAAATGAGGTCCACAACCAACTGGAAATTGAATTGGGGGCACATCTGACTTCAAAACCTATGAATAGTCAGGCACAGTGGTGCAAACCTACATATATCCCAGCTACTCAGAAAGCTGAACCTGGAGGATCGCAAGTTCAAGGTTAACCTCAACAACTTAGCAAGACACCCCCATCTCAAAATAAGAAATTAAAAATGGTATGTCAGGGGAGGGAACATAGCTCCGTGGTAGATTGCCCCTGGGCTCAATCCCTAGTTCTGTAAAAACAAAATTTTTCAAGGGTTGGGCTTGTCTCCTCTACAACTTAGGGTCCCAGCTCAAGGGAGTTATTACATGGCTTACCTGGCTAAGGTATTTACTCATAAGGAAAACGACAGTACTTGCTATGGTGGTTCAGTTTCCTTTGGATAGGACCAGAAAATAAATGACCAGGGGGGAAGCCCTGGGTTTGGTTCTAGAAACTGAAATGAGTCAGAGAAAGTATCCAGATCCTTTAGGAGCCAACAAAATTCAAAAGGCAAGTACCAATATTGAGGCCCAAGAAGGAAACTCGGGTCATTCATTTCCAGAGACGTCATTCAAGTATTAACACAAGGGACGAGTCTGAAGCCATACACAAGGGATGTGACACAGGGAATGTGAGTGCCCCAGAGATCAGAAATGAGTGAGGAAAAAGAGGGAAAGTCGAGAATTTTTCAACATAGGCCAGAATGAGGTTTGGGGGGCGGGTAGGGAGTTTGAATTGGATTCTAGCTGAGAAGAGGAAGTAGCACAGCTTAAAGTTATGGGCGGTGGTTAGACAGAGGTAATTGGAAATGTCTTTAT